TTAGGAAAATAGAAAAGATGTAGTCATTTTCTTACAAATAATATTTTCAATTCTTGGGTCTGATGAGATATAGAAGTTAAAAATATGAGATAATAGGATATTTTACCTTATTTATATGCTTTTCATATTTAAGTATATTTTTATTTGCATCTTTTTTATTTTTTTCAATAATTTTTTGGCTGCTCAGGACTTGCCCGATTAGAATGGTTGAATCGACCGGTTTACTGGTTAGGCTGGTTAAACCGCTTCTGGCCCCATGTCCAGTTAACCATTCCGGTTCGACTTTGCGAACACTGAGTCCCATACATGGGATGCTCTAGGTTCAATTTTCCTTTTCAAAGGTAGTGGTTTTTTTATAAGGAAAATGGTTTTATAGGGCTGCAACCCTATCAAAATAAGTAAAGCCGCACAACCTCATAACTCATCGAAAACTATAATTGAAGTGTTGAAATCTCAGCTTGAACATTACAATTGTGAAAAAAATTTAAGATTTCAAATTCTAAAATTAAGTGTTCATAGATTCATAAGATCTGTATCATTTTTTATTTTCAAAATTTATTGTCGGTGTTGAAAATTGATTTTAGAGCCGTCATAGAGATTTTCAATGCTGAAAGTGTTTTCGGGATGAAGATTTGAGGTGAGGCTTTATTTTATTTTCGACAGGTTTAGTAAGTACACTGGTTTTTCTACAGGTTTAGTAAGTACACTGGTTGCATAAATGGCAAAAAGGAAATCCTGGCCTGCCCTCTATCACATCAATTCCAATCCAATTGTTATTTTCTTGGAATTTCATGTTTTCATCCAAGCGTTGACTCTCTCCCCCCTCTCTCCCCCCTCTCTATCTTACATGCCCTTCTACACAGGCAGCCCATGGAAGCTTTGAACTTGTCATCTTCCCTCCCTCCATATAAGACAGAAAAAAAAAGGTTTTTCAACACTCAAATAAAAAGAAACAAGTGAAATGCTACAAATGGATTCTCAAATGAACTTATTCCATCTGCCATTGGAATCCAATGTGAATAAAGAAAACAATCTTTAGAGTGAATGAGGTGATGATGAATAAAAAAGCCTTAGAGATCGCCGGATTGCGCAAGATTGTGCATAGGCTTTTTTCAATGTTGATGTATTACATACTGGGGAAAAGTTTATATAGAGCCTAGGCTCTAATCAATTAAATTAGAGCCTACCTCAAAACTTTCATTAGAAGAGGTTGTTTTGATACCCAAATATCATCTAATTGATTATCTTATTAAATTGATCATCTCGACATCAAGATGAATGGATTTCAAGTTTTAAAAATAATGCATCTTGTCACGCATTTTTAGGCCATCAATTTTCAAGATATTCAAGTTTTCATAGATCTGCTTGATCTACACTATATTTGAAGCTTTAAATTTTATAACTAAA